GCGTTAATATATTAAGAATAATAAAGAAACAAACAGAAAGAATAGTAAAGTGACAAACATTGTTCAGACAATCAAACGATAGGAAATGGTGGAGAGAATTGATCAACTTACCTAATGAGCTTGAGTAAAAGGATGGCAGAACAAATGATAGGAAAGAATAGTATGGAGACAAACAGATCTACAATCGATTGGTAGTTGTGGAGAGCCATGACCAACCTATCTAAGGAGGTTATGCAAAAAGATGACAGAACAGTGACTGGGAGGAGCAGTTAAGGGACAATTATTGCTTAGAGATACAATCGATAGGAAGTTGTAGAGAGCCATTATCAATCTACCTAATAAGGTTGTGTAAAAAGATGGCAGAACATGGATAGGAAAGAATAAAAAGAGGACATTTACATTATTCGGACTATTGTCTTCATCAATGTCGCTATATTTATAACAACGTTTCGGCCGTTATAGGCTCCGGCCTTCTTCAGATGGTTGGAATGTCGAACCTAACCCTTTATTTCGCTCACTGGGTTAGACTGTTCTAGTTCCACGTCCCATGCTTAATGGATGTCAGTTATCAGTTATCCCCTGTTAATTTCCCTCTGAAAGTTCTCCACTGCCTTAACCGGGTATTGAACTCACACTCTTTGGGTTCTGTCACTGGATCTAACCAACGCCTTTATCCAATGTGCTATTTGTCCTTGAGGAAGTAGTCCGGAGCGTACAACGGCCGAAACGTTGTAATAAATATGGCGACAAAGATGACGACAATATTCCGAATAATGTAAATAGTGTACATAATACCTCATCTCAGAAATATAGACAGATACTGAAAAGCGGAAACGTTGAAATAAGTATGGCAACAAAGATGACAATATTCCGAATAATGTAAATAGTGTACATAATACCTCATCTCATCTTTAATATTATTCTTCTTTTAAATTTACTTTGTTGTTTTAATATTCATTTTTTAAAGTTATGCTTTTATTTACTATAGATGTAAAAAATAAACTCAAGTAAGTAGACATTTTTAAAATACATCTTGGGTTTCGAAATTATCAGCAAAATTAAAAATAAAAACGAATGGGAATAATAATTATTCTCTTCGCGTTTTTAATTTTTAATTCTGAGAATTTGAAACGCTTTTACATGGCTAAAAATGTCTTCTAATGAAATTATTACGTATTTTAAATTTTAAAATATCTTCGCAGTACAAATCATACAATGATAATTTGTTTGTAAAAAGGTGGGTTGGGTGATACTGAGTATATATATATATATATATATATATATATATATATATATATATTGTCGTTAATTATTGTATTTTTTTTAGTTTTATCCGGACACGCACAGACGCACGGGCACGCACAGACGCACGAGCGCGCACACAGGCAATTGCCCTATACACACACACAGACACACACGCACATGCACGCACACAGAAAAACACACTATATTTATATATGGATTATGGATTATAATTTGACAATAAATCGGATAAGGAACAAATAGGAGACGTTTTATAAAATGCAACATGTTTCGCTTTTATTTTAAAATTTAATTTTCTGAAGAAGAAGGAGAAGAAGAAGAAGCGGTTGAATCATGTTTACAAATGCGATTTTCAAGCCTGGAATAGTTTTGGCCGAGTGGTTAGATCGTTCGGTTTCTGGCCATGAGATATGGGTTCGAATCTCACTATGATGTTATTGGTCTGTGTGGAAATCGCCTGAAAACCATAACATGGGTTGACCCAAGCCTTATGAGTGAAATTGATTACACAAAGCCCTCGATGGTTGTGCTAGCACGAAGTCCCAACTCATCGTGACCGAGTGTTTGAGCGTGTTGGCTTTGATAACTAGATGGCAGATCAACGCTCACTATCCAATAACCAAGGTCTGCTCAGCATAGTATAAAGCATTAGTGGCTTCGTGGGTGTTGTAGATGGATACGAGTGGCTGTCCCATTTAGATTATATACATTGCATATTCCTTCCATCTTTCCTTTAAATTTGACTCCGTTAATCTCGACTAGACACACATACATATGCATATTGATACACATACCTAAATACACACACACAAATACATTCAAGCATACACATAAGCATATACAAAAGACAGCCTGTGATTTTTCGAAAGCCAATTTTGACGCACATTTTCATAACACTGCATTAAACTGTAAGAGGCCCCCTCCCTTCAACGCTGAAAAAATTGAATTGAGTAGAAAATACATAAAATACCATTGATATTTTCCAGTTCGATTTCTGTTCTTTACTCTTAATGGATTTGGTTGAAGATCAAAGAAACAAATAAAACATTATTGTAATTCGCTGCCTCATTATCAGGTATTGATCGATCGATCAGCTGCAAATCTTAAAAAAAAAAAAAAAAACGACAATAGTTTTCGTATAAAACCGGTATTGACATGTCAGCGAACCCATAAAGTCTATCAAAGTTATCGATCGATTTTTTTTCTTTTCTTTTCATTTTAATTTAAATCAGTCAAGAAATACGACGGAATAGCTATATTAGGCTTGTAAAAGTGCTTTATGTCTATTTGAAGTGCGTTGACATTTCCCGGACAGTACAAGTTTGGCAAAAGGACAACATTATAGATCACCTGCAGATTGATTATCGTTCCTTCTACGCATTGCCAGATTGGACTTCATTGAAAAGATCAGCGTTTCTATACCGGGAATTGAATTTCTTTTTATTAGCAACCCTGTTCATATCAAAACGACGCAATTTGAGAAATTCAAAATTTGGTCGGGCTCGGCTTTCAAATATAACTCAATATTTCGGGGGGGGGGAGAGAAGAGAGTATGTTTGTAGATTTGATTAATACTTTTTAGAGCTAGTCGTTAAATTTTTAGTTTGGTTTCTTCTCATTAGTAACCCAGCTTATTTTAAAAGTAATCTAAAAAGTAAGAAAATACAAACTTCAGTGGCAGTGACCTTTCAAAAACTAAACCCGCCTCATCAAATTAAGTGTAATCATCAGATTATAAACGTATGGACAGCTACCTTTTAGTAGCGAATTTACTTCTATATTTATCGATTGTTAGGAAGAAAGAGAGATCAAATAACGAATATACTGGTATATGTAGGGTTGATTTATTGTTGCATATTATAGTTTTCATATCGAAGTCTCAGTATAATATTATCAGAGATGCCAGTGATTAACACACACTGCTACATTTGATTCGTTTCTTATTTATTCATTCGAAAATACAAGAAATAATTTTTGGAAATAAAAAATATACTTCTTCACGAGAGAAAAAAATGTTTCCTGCTTCTAAATAAAAAAAGAAAGAAAAAACGATTGCATGCATGATCTTCCATAGTGGAAATCGCCAATGGTTTCAGATGATGAAAACGTCACCGTCAAGGAAAAGTTACAAAATTCAAGAAGCGTTTTATTTCATCATTGTTTTTGTAGTGATATGTGAGGAACTGTGGGTTAACAAATGTGTTCGAAAGAAAGCATTTAAATAACCGTTATTTATTTCATGAAATTAGGGCATAAATTTAAGAAGGGCAAATGGGTCTCATGTGGACCGCGAGCCACAGTTTGCTCATAATTGGTCTCAGCTGATGTTGGAGACGCCAGGGATGAGTTGGCAAATATCTATATCTATCACTCTCTGTTTCTGTAACTCATATATCAAAATAATTGCTCTCTTTTCTAGGAAAACACCCTCTCTGATAACTTTGCACCTCTTCCTCTGCTTATCCCTCCCATCTCCTTTCATACCTTTAATCGACTGTCTAAGTAAGCCAGGCTGATATTGAAATGTGTGTGCATACAATTTCAGTTCAAATTTCTTTGCTGCGGTTACGAGGTTTTCATATTGTCTGTTCAGATCAGTTTTGTCCAGTTTATTGTAAAAAGTAGAACAAAAAATAATTAGTGAAATTGAAACTTTAGTAGCGTTGACCTTTCAAAGGTAGTTCAATCTAGCCAACTAGCTTCATAAAATTAATTCATTTGATCAGATTATATAAATGTAGGGGTACCATTTTTCAGTGTAGAATTTACGCCTATATTCATGCTTCAGAATAGGGAAGAATACACATCGCATAACACATATTCAGGCGTATGTGCCTGCATAGTTAATGTATTAATGTAGAATGAAGGGTGCTTAGATTGCAAATAGAGAATGAATTATTCTCAGATTGCAAACAGAGAATGAAGGGTAGCAGATTGCAAAAAATGAATAAAGTGTTCTCGGATTGCTAACTGAGAATGAATGATTCTCATACTGCAAACAGAGAAGGGTTCTTAAATTGCAAACAGAGAATGAAGGGTTCTCAGATTGCAAGCAAAGAATGAAGAGTTCTCAGATAGAAAACAGAGATTAAGGGTTTCTCAAATTGCACACAGAGAATAAAGGGATCTTAGATTGTAAACAGAGAAGAAAGCGTTCTCAAATAGCAAACAGAGGATGAAGGGTTCTCCGATTGGAAAAAGAGAATGAAGGGTTCTCAGATTGCAAACAGGGAAGAAAGGTTTCTCAGATTGGAAACAGAGAATAAAGGGTTCACGGATAGCAAACAGAGAATGTCCAGGTCTCAGATTGGAAAAAGACAATGAATAATTCTCAGATTGCAAACAGAGAATGAACGGTTCTCAGATTGCATTGACAGAATGAAAGATTCTCAGATAGCAAACAGAGAATGAAGAGTTCTCGAACTGCAAACAGAGAATGAAGAATTCTCAGATTGCATTGACAGAATGAAAGATTCTCAGATAGCAAACAGAGAATGAAGAGTTCTCGAACTGCAAACAGAGAATGAAGAATTCTCAGATTGCATTGACAGAATGAAAGATTCTCAGATAGCAAACAGAGAATGAAGAGTTCTCGAACTGCAAACAGAGAATGAAGAATTCTCAGATTGCATTGACAGAATGAAAGATTCTCAGATAGCAAACAGAGAATGAAGAGTTCTCGAACTGCAAACAGAGAATGAAGAATTCTCAGATTGCATTGACAGAATGAAAGATTCTCAGATAGCAAACAGAGAATGAAGAGTTCTCGAACTGCAAACAGAGAATGAAGAATTCTCAGATTGCATTGACAGAATGAAAAGATTCTCAGATAGCAAACAGAGAATGAAGAGTTCTCGAACTGCAAACAGAGAATGAAGAATTCTCAGATTGCATTGACAGAATGAAAGATTCTCAGATAGCAAACAGAGAATGAAGAGTTCTCGAACTGCAAACAGAGAATGAAGAATTCTCAGATTGCATTGACAGAATGAAAGATTCTCAGATAGCAAACAGAGAATGAAGAGTTCTCGAACTGCAAACAGAGAATGAAGAATTCTCAGATTGCATTGACAGAATGAAAGATTCTCAGATAGCAAACAGAGAATGAAGAGTTCTCGAACTGCAAACAGAGAATGAAGAATTCTCAGATTGCATTGACAGAATGAAAGATTCTCAGATAGCAAACAGAGAATGAAGAGTTCTCGAACTGCAAACAGAGAATGAAGAATTCTCAGATTGCATTGACAGAATGAAAGATTCTCAGATAGCAAACAGAGAATGAAGAGTTCTCGAACTGCAAACAGAGAATGAAGAATTCTCAGATTGCATTGACAGAATGAAAGATTCTCAGATAGCAAACAGAGAATGAAGAGTTCTCGAACTGCAAACAGAGAATGAAGAATTCTCAGATTGCATTGACAGAATGAAAGATTCTCAGATAGCAAACAGAGAATGAAGAGTTCTCGAACTGCAAACAGAGAATGAAGAATTCTCAGATTGCATTGACAGAATGAAAGATTCTCAGATAGCAAACAGAGAATGAAGAGTTCTCGAACTGCAAACAGAGAATGAAGAATTCTCAGATTGCATTGACAGAATGAAAGATTCTCAGATAGCAAACAGAGAATGAAGAGTTCTCGAACTGCAAACAGAGAATGAAGAATTCTCAGATTGCATTGACAGAATGAAAGATTCTCAGATAGCAAACAGAGAATGAAGAGTTCTCGAACTGCAAACAGAGAATGAAGAATTCTCAGATTGCATTGACAGAATGAAAGATTCTCAGATAGCAAACAGAGAATGAAGAGTTCTCGAACTGCAAACAGAGAATGAAGAATTCTCAGATTGCATTGACAGAATGAAAGATTCTCAGATAGCAAACAGAGAATGAAGAGTTCTCGAACTGCAAACAGAGAATGAAGAATTCTCAGATTGCATTGACAGAATGAAAGATTCTCAGATAGCAAACAGAGAATGAAGAGTTCTCGAACTGCAAACAGAGAATGAAGAATTCTCAGATTGCATTGACAGAATGAAAGATTCTCAGATAGCAAACAGAGAATGAAGAGTTCTCGAACTGCAAACAGAGAATGAAGAATTCTCAGATTGCATTGACAGAATGAAAGATTCTCAGATAGCAAACAGAGAATGAAGAGTTCTCGAACTGCAAACAGAGAATGAAGAATTCTCAGATTGCATTGACAGAATGAAAAGATTCTCAGATAGCAAACAGAGAATGAAGAGTTCTCGAACTGCAAACAGAGAATGAAGAATTCTCAGATTGCATTGACAGAATGAAAGATTCTCAGATAGCAAACAGAGAATGAAGAGTTCTCGAACTGCAAACAGAGAATGAAGAATTCTCAGATTGCATTGACAGAATGAAAGATTCTCAGATAGCAAACAGAGAATGAAGAGTTCTCGAACTGCAAACAGAGAATGAAGAATTCTCAGATTGCATTGACAGAATGAAAGATTCTCAGATAGCAAACAGAGAATGAAGAGTTCTCGAACTGCAAACAGAGAATGAAGAATTCTCAGATTGCATTGACAGAATGAAAGATTCTCAGATAGCAAACAGAGAATGAAGAGTTCTCGAACTGCAAACAGAGAATGAAGAATTCTCAGATTGCATTGACAGAATGAAAGATTCTCAGATAGCAAACAGAGAATGAAGAGTTCTCGAACTGCAAACAGAGAATGAAGAATTCTCAGATTGCATTGACAGAATGAAAGATTCTCAGATAGCAAACAGAGAATGAAGAGTTCTCGAACTGCAAACAGAGAATGAAGAATTCTCAGATTGCATTGACAGAATGAAAGATTCTCAGATAGCAAACAGAGAATGAAGAGTTCTCGAACTGCAAACAGAGAATGAAGAATTCTCAGATTGCATTGACAGAATGAAAAGATTCTCAGATAGCAAACAGAGAATGAAGAGTTCTCGAACTGCAAACAGAGAATGAAGAATTCTCAGATTGCATTGACAGAATGAAAGATTCTCAGATAGCAAACAGAGAATGAAAGAGTTCTCGAACTGCAAACAGAGAATGAAGAATTCTCAGATTGCATTGACAGAATGAAAGATTCTCAGATAGCAAACAGAGAATGAAGAGTTCTCGAACTGCAAACAGAGAATGAAGAATTCTCAGATTGCATTGACAGAATGAAAGATTCTCAGATAGCAAACAGAGAATGAAGAGTTCTCGAACTGCAAACAGAGAATGAAGAATTCTCAGATTGCATTGACAGAATGAAAGATTCTCAGATAGCAAACAGAGAATGAAGAGTTCTCGAACTGCAAACAGAGAATGAAGGGTTCTCAGATTGCAGAGAATGCAGATTTCTTTGATTGCACGCAGAGAATGACGCTTTCTCAGATTGCAAAGAGAGAATGAAGAGTTCTCAGATTGCAAACAGGGAAGAAAGGCTCTTCAGGTTGCAAACAGAGAAAGTGTTCACGGATAGCAAACAGAGAATGAAGGGTTCTTAGATTGTAAACAGAGAATGGCGGGTTCTCGAACTGCAAACAGAGTATGAATGGTTCTCATATTGCAAACAGAGAATGAAGAGTTCTTAGATTGCAAACAGAGAAGGAAGGGTTCTTAGATTGCAATTAGAGAATGAAGGGATCTCGTACTACAAACAGAGATTAATGGGTTCTCAGAATGCAAACAAATAATGAAGGGTTCTTTGACTGCAAAGAGAGAATGAATAGTTCTCAGATAGCAAAGAGAGAATTTTGACTTCTCTGATTGCAAAAAGAGAATGAAGGGTTCTCGCATTGCAAACAGAGAATGAAGGCTTCTCAGGTTGTAAACAGGGAATGAAGGCTTCTCATATTTCAAACAAAGAATGAAGGGTACTCGGACGGCAAATAGAGAATGAATAGTTCTCAGATTGTAAACATATAATGAAGAGTTCTTTGATTGCACTCAGATAATGAAGATTTCTCAGATTGCAAACAGAAAATGAAGGATAATCTGATTGCAAACAATGAATGGAGGGTTCTCAGATTGCAAACAGAGAATGAAGGGATCTTAGATTGCAAAAAGAGAATTAAGGATTCTAAGAATGCCAAAAGAGATAATAATAGGGTTTTCGGGTTGCAAATAGAGAATGAAGAGTTCTCAAATTTCAAACGGAGAATGAAGAGTTCTCAGATTACAATCAGAGAATGAAGCGTTCTCGGATTGCTCTCAGTAAATGAAGGGTCCCCGGACTGTAAACAGAGAATGAAAGGTTCTCGGACTGCCAAGACAGAATGAAAAGTTCTCAGATTACAAAAAGAGAATGAAGATTTCTCAGATTGCAAAAAGAGAATGAAGAGTTCTCGGATTGCAAACAGAAATTGAAGGGTTCTCAGGTTGCAAACAGAAAATGAAGGGTTCTCATATTGTAAACATGAAATGAAGAGTTCTTTGATTGCACTCAGATAATGAAGATTTCTCCGATTGCAAACAGAAAATGAAGGGTACTCTGATTGCAATAAGAGAATGAAGGGATCTTAGATTTCGAACAGAGAATTAAGGATTCTAACATTGCCAACAGATAATGAAGGGTTCTCGGACTGCAAACATAGAATGAAGTATTCTCAGATTGCCAACAGACAATGAAGGGTTCTCAGATTGCAAACATAGAATGAAGCGTTCTCAGATTGCCAAAAGTAAATGAAGAGTCCCCTGACTGTAAAAAGAGAATGAATGGTTCTCAGATTGCAATCAGAGAATGCAGGGTTCTCAGATTTCAAACAAAGAATGAAGGGCTCTAGGATTGCAAAAAGAGAATGAAGAGTTCTCGGACTGCAAACAGAGGATGAATAGTTTTCAGATCGTAAACAGATAACGAAGAGTTCTTTGATTGCACTCAGATAATGAAGATTTCTCAGATTGCAAATGAAGGGTACTCTGATTGCAAACAATGACTGAAGGGTTATCGGATTGCAAACATAGAATGAAGTATTCTCAGATTGCCAACAGACAATGAAGGGTTCTCAGCTTCAAACAGATAATGAAGGGTTCTCAGCTTCAAACAGATAATGAAGGGTTCTCAGCTTCAAACAGATAATGAAGGGTTCTCAGCTTCAAACAGATAATGAAGGGTTCTCGGACTGTAAACAGAGAATGAAGAGTTCTCAGATTGCACACAGTGAATGAAGCGTTCTTGGACTACAAACAGAGAATGCAGTCTTGTCAGATTGCAAATAGTTAATGGAGGTTTCCCAGATTTGAAACAGAGAATTGAGAGTTCTCAGATTGGGTTGCAAACAGCGAAGTGGTCCCTATTTGAAAATCCAGCTTTACTAAATTCTTTTTTGACTTTCTTCTAACTAGTAAGCTCAGCAGAATAATTTGAACTTTTGTTCCATTGACCTTTCAAATGTTATCCAATCTAACATCCCAGCTTCATTTGATTATAAATCTATTTTCAGTAAGGAATTTACTTCTATAATTGGCCTTTGATATGAAGGGATAACAGTGACCTCGTAACTCATATTTAGATGTGTTGACTTAGAAAGATGATATATTGAAACGGTACCTTATCCTGCTAGAACAGAGAAGTACAAATATCGCATAACTCACCTGCTAGCGTATGAGATTGTATGGATTAGGGAATAATGAAGGCTTGTTAGATTGGGTTGCTTTTTGATGTCAACGATCACTTGTTACCACTTTTGTAATGTCAATACTCGTAATAATTGTCGTAGTAGAGACTTTGTAATCGCAGATACAACTATAGTAACGCCGTTGAACAATAATGGTGTCAGACGCCTTCGTATATCGCTCGCACTAATAGTACTTGCTTGATAATACTCGCTCGAATAGTAACCACCGAATAGTGATCCAAATAGTTATCTGTGTAGTGATGATATTCACTAACTGCCCCACGCGGTCGGATGTAGCACAAGGCCGAGTCTATTGGTAGACCCCGTAAAGAAACGTCTCGTGTAGCTGTCTCCCAAGGGCTTTTATCTATGTAAAATATGTGCGATTTTTTTCAGAACTGCTCAGTGGAAAATGTCCCGATGCCATTTCTAACCTTATGTCTCTGGTCGTGACTCGGAAAGAAATGAGTATACACCAGAAACCAAAGAAAATAAAACAACATCAACAAGAATATTATTATTATTATTATTATTATTATTATTATTATTATTATTAATAATAATAATAATAATAATAATATAACCTCAGAAATAACAAAGTAGCGACATATGTACACTGGAAAATATGCATGGCAGTTCAAACTGACAAGGAAATAAAAGCCAACAGTACTTGATATAATAAAAATCATGAAATTCAGGAAGTGCATATGAGAAAAACACCTCCATAAAAATTATGGAGAAATTGTCCAAATACAAGGACCTGAAGATCGAGATTAACAGGATGTGGGGAATGGAGACTGAGATTGTACCAACAGTAATCGGAGCATTGGGCCTCGTGAGGAAAGGAATGGACAATTGTACTAACAGTGTCCCAAGTCACATCAACATAAAAGTTGCTCAGAAGATCGACCTATTAGGAACATCCCATATAATAAGAAAAGTGCTATCAATTAAATAACAGTTCTCCTATAGAGCCTAAGGATCATTGTTTGGACCCGGCTCTACAAGATACAAAGCAGTAAACATAATATACACAAATAATAATAATAATAATAATAATAATAATAATAATAATAATACGGACAAATACATGAAAATTACGAGAATTTAACGTGTTTTCCCGACTAGAACTCCTGACAATAAGCTATTTGAGCTAAAATTAAATAATAAATATATATTATTATAGTAGTTCCTGCTAGTCTTGTTATTTATTCCCCGATATAGACGATTACTTAGTCACATTTGTGTTTCTGAACCCATAGCCAACCTATAACTTAGAAAGACATAGAAAGAAAAGAAACTATCAGGATTTACAATCAGTGTAAATAATATAAAATATGCACATTGCTACTTGCAGAAACCCAAAAGAAAACTGCAATAACTCTAAGGCAAAGTCGTAAAAGAAAATGTGAAGAAAGGAATATTAAATGGAAGAAAACAGAATATGGCTGTTATCCAGAGGAACAGACCAAGTTGGGATTTATGAATTATAGACGTCGTAATCAAGTAAGTACAGGCAATTCATTCATCTGGGTAATGTTATAACAGACGACGGAATATGTGAGACAGAAATCCTAAGGTACATTGGAATAGCAGAAGATGTCTTCTGAAAGCTAAGCAATATATTAAAAAAACAGGAAACTTTCGTTAGAAAAAAACAACAAAAAAAAAATACGAAAAGAATGCTTTGCTGATATATAATACCAATACTCCTATAACAATGGAATAGCTGGCCACTCGTAATCGAGGATAGTCGTCTACTAGGGCGGCTAGCCAATCCATATTGCAGACGCTCGCTCAGGTACATTTGTGTCTGTTCAACACCCACAGAGCCAACTTGTGGTTTATGTTGCACCTATACTGTGCAGATCTTAGTTAAAGTTTCTGGGAGAGAGCGTGTTATCTAGCATGATCAACAATCTGAAGAACGCCAGCCCGTTCAAACCCTCGGTCACGATGACTTGTGACTTCGTGCTATCTCAGATCGACGGTCCCCAAGTGTTCCGTCTACCCAATTTCACTCACAAGGCTTGGGTTAACCAGTGGTATGGTTTCATGCACATTCCAAAGGTGCCACACGCTGGGATCGTCCACACTCCACATCGATAATATCAGGAATTCTCCTTCCTGACAAATCAACCGTGGTGAGATTCGAACTCTGGTCTCATGGTCAGAAAGCGAACGTTCTAACCACTCGGCTATATGGCATTGAATACTGAACAATTTCCTCACAGGCGATTAGGAAACTTGAAGCGACAAAGCTGTGGTTCTACAGAAGGATTCTGAGAATACCACGGACGGAAGTGGGGCGGGGGGAGCAAAGAGGACTTTTAAAAGAAAATGGATACAAAATGGACGCTTTTACTTAGAATAAAAAGAAACAGTTGAAATATTTGGTGCACATGAAGAAGGACGGTTTGGGGAATTTGGCTTTCGCTGATCATAATGACGACAAGATGGGCTGAAGAAAACAGCTAGTAACTTACATAACGAGCTTGTGTAAAGGGATGGAAGAGCAGGGGCTAGTAGTGATCTCAGTAGGACATATTTTTAGAGGCATAAAGGATAAGAAATCAAGCTGTAAATCGAAATGTTCAGAAAGTGCATCAGGCACAAAAGTAGAATGTGATTTTAGGTTGCAAATGCTTTCTACGTTATTTTTGTAATATTGTCTGGGTTGAAAATAACAACTAGAACGGCAACTTGCAAAGTATAAGGTTTATTTTAAACAAGAACAATACAAGTAGATAACAAACAAGCCGGCAGGAAGTGGCACAAGGCCGATTTTTATGTGTGGCGATCCGATCCAGTAAGCTCGGGTAAAAATTGTCCGTAGACCCCGCATACACGAAGTCGGATTTGTCGACCTCCCCAGACGAGACACTGCCCTTCGCTATAGACTCGTCTGGGTTCATCTATGGCCGAAGGCAGAGAGTTCGACCTCTTGATGCTTGCTCAAGCCTAAGCTGGAAAATAAACCCCTTGAGACCAACACCATAGATGCTTATTTTTGTGATGTCAACGATCACCCGTTGTCACTTTTGTGATGTCAAGGTATACTCGTTGTCACTTTCGTTGTAGTAGAGACATTTTAATCGCAGATACAACTATAGTAACGCTGTAGAACAATAGTAGTGTCAGACACCTTCGAATAACACTTACACTAATAGTACTTATTCGATAATACTCGCTCGAAAAGTAATACGTATAGTGATCCAAATAGTATAGAGAAGAGAATAGCGGTCTGCAAGGTAATAGAGGATAGAGTAGAAATGGAGATCTATGTTCAAACTCTAGTGTCGGCAGCGACACTTTATTCCTATACAAAACTTATATTACTCCTGGAACAGTCCATTTAATAGAGGTGTATCAGTTCTTTGTATACTGAGAGTTATTCGTTCGTTCGCTACAACATTTGTACTGATTTCAAATGTGTTACTAGATAGGCATTTAAGTCTCACCGTTTTGCAGTTAAATTAACTAAATACAAACGTATGTTCTTTTCTAATAGTTTCTTTTCGCGCGCTTCTCAGCTGTAGAGCTCCCGATTCATTGCTTCACTGCCAGCCACAATCTTCAAAAATTTAAATGCAACGTCAATCGCCATCGTTTGTCTTCCTGAAAGCTTTATCGTGCTTTCCTAATTGAAGTTTTCTTATTTTACTCCCTGTGTTCTAATGTCAGGTTGCTTGGGGCAAAACGATTTAAAAAAAAAGAGATTAAGCAAGCCTGTCTGTAACATTTGCAGGCAGAGTAATATCTCCCATCTCTTCCAGTAAGAAAAAAAATTGATTGCTACGTGATGAGATTCAAATAGCTAAGTTGCCCTTTTAGTCGAAGAAACGTTTAATTCCTCCGTGTTATGTTATGTCCCTTAAATACACAGTCAAACTTTTTTTTCCTTTTACTTTAGCTTTACTTGATGATTGACTCGGACAGAACTTAAAACCCTGGCCCAATTAAAGTATTAGTTCCTGACCGGGGAAACCTGTGGATGTAACTACAATCGCATATTTTTAAATGTCGAGGTTTGGATTTCAGCCGAGTCTAATCTGATGTCGTTCGCAAGTAGTTCTTAGACAAATCGATAATCGATTTCCATTGGAAACATCCGGAACAGACACAGAAAGGAGGGGGGAGAGAGGATTGGATAAGTTGAATTCTTGCCACTGCTGATAGATATCTAAAGCCTCTTCACTTGTTTACAAACGGAGAACACACGACAGCGTTGAAGCATCCCAGCCTCCCAAAATTGGATGTCATCTCTCTAAATGTCCATAAAAAGGATAATGAATAGGATTACAGTTACTAAACACTATATAGAGGCGCGTGTAGCTTACACACTCTCGTTCACAACGGACACTGTTATATACTCATACACACATGCACACACGCACACACACACACACACATACACACACACACACACACACACACACACACACACACATATATATATATTTATATATGTGATAAAATATAGTTTTAAGGTATGCTATAATTATGGTTTAAAGTGCTCAATATCAGAGATAGAGCGTATGTAAATACAAAAATAGTCCGTGTCATGCTAAAAGCAATTGTCCGGCCATGTGCGTTGTGTTTTTGCTCGACTATTTATGCAGGTCAGTGATACATTGTGGGTAGTCTATTTTTGCATTTTGCGTAG